ACTTCACATAAACTAGAGATATGAAAAACTCACAGGATGTGAAAATGTACAACAGAGATAAGGTTATATTGGTATCAAATCTGTATGTTTAAGCAATGACAAAGGCTCAGGATGCATGCTGGTTGGCTCAAGTTTCTTGACATGGTTATCCTGCCACTCTTGGAAAGATTGATTCTCCAGTGCTTGACCTTCTTATATCATCTTTCTGTCTTTTGTCCAAGCTAGGTATTTGATTATCGTTGTTCAAAATGAGGAAATTCACATGAAAACTAATGCCAAACAGATTCAAAGTTTGTAACTGAGAATTTTTAGTAAACTCGCCAATGACTGGATCCATCAGTATATAGAATTCATTCCAGAAATTTAGAAAGAAAATCCATCATTACTTTCAGTCTATATAATCTTCAAATATCTTAAACACAGGAAGAAAAATCATTTTAAAATAATGAGCTAATAAATAAAAACAGATACTAATAAATAATGGCTGTAATTTTTAAGTTATTCTATTAGTCACATGAAATAGGTCCTAAACAGACAAATTACAAGAATATTTTAGATTCAATGAAAATATACATTGTGTACAGAACTGACTTGAGAATATTTTTCTTAAAGATATTTAGAAAATATTAGATTTACTAGACTCATTTTTCTTCTTTATATCTTAAAATATTAATTTATGTTATACTAACAATTTTAAAAATTACAACTCAATTTTTGACTATGTTCATAGCATAGAACATCTATGGTCTTCCTTTAATTACAACCTTTTCCAACATTTATCTCCTGGAAAAGGCAACATAAAATGTGAAAATACCGTAAAACTATCAAGTTTATCCCAGATGCTTCAAGTATTTTGAATATTTTAATATAATACTTTATCAAGGACTTGATCTATCCTAACACTTAGAAAAATTCTATAACATTTAAGTGCAGAAATTGTGAGAAGTCACTATTTTGAAATTTAGGTTATAAGAATTCCTTTTAAGAAACAGATATAATTACTCATTATCTCAAACATTGACTAGAAACCATATTTTTATTGATCAAATGCTGTAAAATCAGATGAACCAATGAAAATGCTTAAAGATTCTATTAGTCAGATACCTGAAACACTTTAACAGTTAAAAATAAATGAGCAAATCCAAAGACTTCATTATAATTTGAATGTTCTTTGTACTTTTATAGGATTGTAATACCCAAGTGAGTTCTTCAGGAACTGGTTAGTATCTCTGTTCAAGCAGAAAAACAACTTTTAAAAAAAGTACAAGCATCAGTGTTTTTTGTACATCTATCCTCTTCAAGAATTTTTTAATAAAATAGAGATGCTATTTTAACATCAGAAATGACTTATTGTATGTTATCCTAAAACATTCATTCATTGTTACACTTCAGGGGAAATGCAAGTATTTTGGAATAATAATCTTAATCATCACGTATAAATCATCTTAAAGACTAGGGCTCTATAGTTCAGGAGAGTCTCTATTCCTCCATGGCTGTATGTAAAGAAGCTGATTATCAGTGTCAAATAAATGTTAAACTCTCACCAATTTAAACATTTGATTTCATTTATTTGCTGCTCTTCCATTTAATACTGAATTAAAACAGTTGCAAATTGGTCCTTCATTGATTTGGGCAAGTGGCTAAATTGATGTAAACTGGGGGTGGGGGGAAGGTGGGGAGAAGGTGTTGTTTTTATGCAAATTATTTGATCATTTAATACAAGTAAACATACTCAAATCTAAATACCTGACCTTTTCAAATAAATGTATACCTACCTTGATTTTCACAATAAGCCTCAACTCATTTCCATGACAATGTTTTTACAAAATGTAAGCAAAACAGGTGTTAAATTACTTAACAGAACTCATAATTTAAATAATTAAAACTAATTTGTGTTTAAAGCTATTTGCAGATTTATTAGAGAAACAAATACAAATATGCATTTCTACAGAACTGTTTTTTTTTCCAAAATGAGCTTAAAACTTGTTCCACAGTTTTCACTTGTTTATATATCTAATGATAACCCAAGTATTGGCTTCTGTACCACTTATAATGAGACAATTGCCCTTCCATTGCAATTATAAAAAACTATTTAAAAAAAAATTCAGCACATACACGTTAAATATTTTTCCTTAAAAAAATAATCTAATCAAAATATTGAATACTTTAGATTTAAACAATATTTTATTTACAAATCTGATTTGATGTACTTTATCAATTATACAAGGTAATGCTTCAATTTCAAGAACAGTTGTTTTTTTTGTTCATATAGACCAATGGAATGACATCCTATCTAGTAATATATGTACTACACTTCAATTTTCTTCAAAATTAACACAAGTTTTCTGATACTTTCACTTAAAAAATGTTAATTTGGGCACAAGTCTGATGAAACAAAAAACAACATGCAGAATTGCAAAAATAACCTCTTAAAGTAATATGATACTTACCCTTTATGTAAAAAGACATCTATGAACAACAGTGCATAACAATATTCTGT